AAAACAAGTTGGAAAGAAATACACATATATAAATACAAACATATGCTCAGTTGATCATCTTCAATACAACAATTAAAAATTATGTAAAAGTTATTGATTAACTTAGTAGTCAAATAAACATTCGTATATTCACGCAATTCTCAACTAAACTTTATTTTATATTAAGATTAATGTTGGACGACACTCATAACCAAAATGAAGTAGTTTGTGAACACGGTTTAAGTCTGTGACTCAGTAATTAACATTTGACTATTGAAACGATTATGCTCTAACGTTCTACTTTCGAGATCATAAACCAGTTTAAACTATCACTGTTTCATTGTATAACCCTAAATTTCAAAACAACGCTGAAATTTTCATATCAGCTGACAAAAAACTACAGATATCTATAATACGTTCAATTAATTTCTACTATAACATTGACAAGGTACTAACAATAATGTTGAGGTGAAATGGATTAATACAGCAAACAGAGAAAAATCTACTTTGATAACAAACAAATAAACAACAAATACGATTGTTTCCCTTCAATACTTATTTTCTTACAGAGATACAGGAATATGAAGAGATAAGGCATATATTCCTATGACTGTAATAACAAACTTGTCACTAAATTTAAATTATAGTGAAAAAAGGTTGCTTCCTTTATGCTGACTGGTGGAATGATAGTACAAATTGCTAATATAATCATTACAATCACGTGGTGGCATATAATAAAACATGGAGTGGGAAAATTTCTACCATATCGAGTAAATGCCAAAACTGGTACTTTGCATTAGATGTAAGAGATACGCATGAATTCACATGAAATCACGAAATTAAAATATATAGAATGAGTGTCATGATGAGATACAGAATTTCTGCACAGGTATGATATGAAATACATGAAAAATTGCGTTTTTAATATAAGAAGAACATTAGTAAGTAAATTCTTATTTACAAAGGCTGAACAGTAAGTAAAATCAACAAGTATGCTCTTTTTTTACAGTCATACAAAACTTGTAAAAAGAGTTCCAAAACTGGATGTTGCATGCATAAGAGAAAAGATGTATACTGCAACAAATATAAACTTGGCAACTCAGTTATTATCACGTATAACTATAACATGGATTATATCAATTCCTTCTACCATATGAAAATATATGTTAATATTTGATTAATAACTAGGCGGACAAATATTTCATTACATTTTGCTCAGATATCAGTGGAAGTGTATAACATCTATAACATTTCTGTAGTACGTATTATTAAGTTAAAGACTATACATTATATTAACTAAATAAATGCCAACAAATCTAATCATTCTACACTTTTGGAGTGGTTTATATTATAAGTTAACGTTAACCGACAACATAATCAGCCATTGGATCTCATCCAAATTATTGTTATCTTCAAACCCGTTGATAATACTGAACCGACATAGTTTAAGATACATTATTCTGTGAATTGGAATATTCCTCTACTAAGTAAGAATGAATGCTAAGTGGGAATTTACATACGAGTGTATATATGGATATGCTGAGCTTATAATCCAGTCGTACAGCCGGGTAAAAGTCAGTGAGCTATTTGCTCCGATAAGATAACATTAAGATTTGATTATAGGTTAACTTTCCAGTCTATTTAACTTATTCTTCAAAATTTCTATCTATTCACTCTGTACACGTCAATATCCACATAATAATAATAATAATAATAATAATAATAATAATAATAATAATAATAATAATAATAATAATAATAATAATAATAATAATAACAGCAACAATGTTAATAATAGTAATAATAATCGTTTTTAACATTCAAATAACTGTCAAAAAAGACAGTAGTAACACAAGCAGGGACATACATACACTGGTGTACGTACAAACTTTGATAATTGACGAAAAGTAGGTACAAAAAGTACATAAAACTAAATCAGGATAGAGAACAAATTATCATCTGTGATGACCAACTAACAGGAAAACTATTTGCGAGCCGAACTAATCTCTTTAAACTATCCTCAAATATTTATGATAGAAAATAACTGAACTGGATAAGTGACGTGACAGAAATTGACTCAATGTTTTTAGATAATCTAATCGCAGTTTTGTATTTACACAAGAACGCTTAGAAAGACAAGTTTAAGACGTTTACACCTTTAGAAGCTAGAGAATACTACATAGCTATCAGCTGACGTTGATAACTATGTAAGATATATTTATTAAAGGTTAATAATGTGATTCGGTTACAAGGTCTTAAATATATGTAGTTCGTTAGAGTTGATTCGATTGAGAATTCGAAAAATACTGAAATCTAACATACAAAGTGGACCAAAATAAGTCGTGGATTGATTAAATCAGTTGTGACATGGTTTACGTAATTCAAACTACGAAAATGAAATGTACGATGTTATATGCATATGATATAATAGAAAGAGGATTTTTAGTGTAAACAGACAAAAACAAATCAATTTAGAAGTAACCTGATTGCTTACAGTTTGAACTTTCTTTTTAAAGTCTTCAGGAGCTTAAAAACCAACGCATGTAAGACTAATGTAATATTATTCGAAATTGATAGCACGACCAAACACCTGACGAATTTTGTGCACGTATTGAGAAAGCTCACCTGGATTTGCCAACCTCCATTACTGATGGCGTAGGCAAGACGACCTGCCAACCAAAAGACGGGCTTATTGAGCAGCAATTCACTCTACCTTACTTTATGGGTACAAACAGCCGCAAAAAATCGGATATTCGTCGGTTACAAGTATTCGACCATTGATGCCTTCAAAGCATTCCTGATGTATATTAGGATGACAGAGTAAGTCATGTTGAGGTTAGACACAGAGCACCAGGTAATAAGGCAAATCAATCCATGAGATGGTGAATCGTTATCGCCTCGAGTGGTTAGGACACATGTTAAGTATAATTAACCACTGACTACATCTACTCTCAATATTACCTGATGTACTAGTCGGGAAGGAAGCTGGGGGCGACCAAACCAAAATGTGACATCAGCCCATGAAGGCACTGATAACTGCACCGAAGGACTTAGTTAGATGCAGATTACCTGGTTGGCGTCCACGAGGTCTTAGCAGCCAATGGTTAGAACCCCTAAGTAACAAGGGTTAGAATCGCTGGCGATAGCGTAGGTGCGTCCACTCTATAAAAACTTTCCATGATCTCGTATTTTCTTGTCTAATTATATCTTCTATATCGTAACGCTACTACTACCATTAATACTGTTATTAATTATCCCACTCGAGTATCCGACTATGCTAATGTGGTTTGGCAACTTAAATCAATGCACATATGTGCTAGCTTCTACGTTGCATACGACCAAATGACTGAAGTGTACTCATTCTTAGCGTTGCTTTAAACTGTTAACATTTTAATATTTCTATATCTCCTAGTCACATGTTCTTGTTCATGCTTTTCTTTATTCCACTAAAGATTTTTTCATCTTTTGCGTATTTTTTCCCTGTTATTAAACAGTATGATCATTTTAATTGAAATGCAACATAGATTTTCATTTGAGAACTTTTTAAACGTATTTATTGGTGAAAATGTTATTATTAGTGTCATCCTTGTGATATCTAATTAATACATTATACCTAAACAATTGTGCAATATTAAATACCCTAAACAAATGAATTGTAATATCATGAAAACATTTTATTTGTTGATCACCTGTAGAAATGTTTCATCTGAAAGATGATAAGAAATCTTCAAGAAACACATCATAAAACGTCACTATTATTATTAGTTTAATGTAATGTATATAAAAAAAAACGATTTCAAACAAAGTTTGCAATCAGCCTACTCTAAAATTGATATTAATACTACAACATTAATGTGAAATCAAACACATTTTATTTGAAGCATACATAAATATGTTTATTTGACTTAAATAATAAATGTTTGATGTTTTCAAAATCTCACCATTTCTTTGAAATAGAAGTGTGAAGAAATTGATGGTAGATAAGTCAGTGAGTGTAAAATCATCCTTAAAATTCATAAATATATAATGCGGATGACTTGAAATAACTAGTCCTAAACACTTAAATCACGATTAGAGTAGAAAGATAGGCTATTAAATTTGAGACTTTTCTTCAAAATTGATTATTTAAATATAACAGTTTTCTAAATATTCTCAAAGATAATGAACTCTTAGAAGATTAAGGAACAATAACTCTACTAATAATACAGATACAGCAATAATACTAAATGATAGTATAGCTAAACAACCTAGAAAAACTTTAATGCTCCTGAATAGTAATAATAATGAGGAGGATTTTAAAGATACTACTCAGAGATGTATTGAGCTTTCTGTTTTAGAACATTCAGATTTGGCTGTGAATGCACACGACTAAGTTGTTGAAAGGAATACAAATTCTCTGTTGTTGACCTATTTTTAAATCGTTCTTTGTATTGTACTTAATTCATTTGATATGTCCATCACTACCATAAGGTACTCCTTAATCTGAAATATCTATGTTTTATGAACGATAGATGATCTGAACAGTATTGATTTATACTAATGTTTGATTATTATCGTCTGTTCGTCACGTGTTATGTAGAAAATGTATTTTTGTTTTTAAAAAACATACGCTTCCGAATAGAAAAATAGCAGTAACAAGCTTTTTGTACACTAATAATAAGACTATGAAATGATTTCTCATTAAAACAAGAATAGTAAACAAATGTCCCATGACAATCAATAATTGACAGCGAAATTTCGTAACTACTGTGTATTTTAGTAATAAAGACAACAATAACTTTTGAAACAGAAGAAACATTTATTTAGCTTCGTAATTTTTAAATTTTCGCCGAAATATGAGCTCCACTCAGACATCGTATGTAAGAATTTGTATGGTAATCTGTAAGCAACATTCAACATAACAATGGACGATATTATTTAGCTACATCGCAACTTGGGGACTTAAGTCAGCAATTAAGTCCGTAGAATACCACACATAAAAACAAATGAGAAAAGATATACAAGAAATTAAACAAACTTACATTATTCATAAAGCCAATGTTATTGTTCGTATTATTGTTAGTAATAGTGGTACTAGAAATACCAGCGTTATGAATGTGGTTACTATTGTTATTATAATAGTTTATAATTCTATCGCCGCTAGTTCCAGTAATAAACTGATCTGAATTAGCAATTATTTGATGAGAATCAAGTTTGGTGTTATTATTAGTCAGTAGAGGACGATTCCCAGCACTTGAAGATAATGGCCATCCACTGACTAATTTAGGTGCATTTTGATACGGGTTAATTTGTTGATAGTGTAATGTACCCTGTGATTTAGATGGAGTACGTGACTGGATATTAGTATTAGCAGCTGCTATAGTACTGTTATGTAGTAATTTAGAAGTATACGCCTGTTGTTGTCGGTGATGATGATGATCAACTGAACTTATATTTGTATGGTTTTGCTGCATAGTGGTAATAGTATTCGTATTTATAACTCCAGTGATGGGAGTAGTTGATAAAGAAGGGGATAGTGGTCTTTGCTTACGAGATGGCAATGGTGCAGTTGGTTTTTCTGTTGTGTTATCCGAAGTTGTTGTGGTAGTGGTTGTTGTTGAACCTGTTGATAATTGACTAACTTGAGAAAATAGATTAATAGGTTCCGGATGCAATCCAAGTGTTTTAGGATAAGTATTACTGTTGTTAAGAATATCAAGTGAATCAGAATAGATAGGACGACATTGACTAGAGTGAGAAGCATTGATAACATTTGACGTGGAAATTTCAACCAATGGAATAGGGTGCGAAGAACACTCTTTAGATGTAGAAATTATGGAATATAAATTAGCAGGAGTAGTATTTTGAGGCCCAGCATAATACTGAAGAATTGGTTGAATGTGTGCGTCAACAGAAGACTGAGATATTTCTAAATCAGAATGATTTGTAATTTTATAAGATTTGGTCAAATAATCAGGTGTTATAGCACCAAATTGATCTAAACATTAAGAAAAAATAAAGCAGGTAAGTTCCAAATAGAAAATTTAAATCATATTACGAAGTGTTTTTTGGCAACATTAGAACTGAAAAAGTTGAAACAACAGAACCTGTGATGTAATAAAACATTAGTATAGACTATTACATTTCAAAATAACACTGATATAATAACTTAAAAGGAAAACAATGAGGACTAAAAACTACACAAATGTAAAGACATGTTAAATGCATGAAGTGGAAGTTCAAATTTGTCTTACAGTGTAATCACATCTGAGTGAACTAAGGAATTTAAATTCAGTTGTGTAGTTATAGAATAGACATTTGACTCTTGTCATTTTATATCATATCATCTAAGTATACTAAGGAGCCGTAAGTTCCGTATTATTGAAAACAGAATATATTCATATCATGCAAATATTTACCCACGAGAACATTTGAAATATTCTTAATACATGATGGAACCACTGAGCAAATAATGTGGATGTTACTCATGAAGTGCTAGGTAACAATGTATATAGTTTGATGAGGTCACACTGAGATAGTTGGTAATTATGTTACGCACCCCAAGCTAATTATCACAGGTATGATGCATAACGACGTTAATATTGAGCATACAAAGACATGATATCATTCATCATGAAGAGGTTTAGAATTCACATTTTTATTTGTGGCAATTATTTCAAATAGTACTTAACGAACAATCAGGGTCTCTTGTGTTTTATTACTTGATTCAACATTTTTAGTAGAAATTTATAAAATGATTCAAAGCTAACAAATATATCGGCAAATAATGAGGTTTTGACATCATTTACTGTCGAGACAATATCTTGTTTTTATTTCATTTTGCAACTCAGTATAATTGCTTCTCCCTGATATATTTTCTAACTTGTATGTAAAGTAGATTGCATTTGCAGCACTATCATACAAATAGGGTATACTGAAAACTGTGAAAAGAATTGTTAGCAGTTCTTAAAACTTACTAATTCATTAATAACAAGTAAAAACGGTGTCATCAAGTATGCGGATAAAAATAAAAGACCAATCAGGACATCGCGTCACAGATGTAACCTAAAAATACAGCACTAGGACCCAACACCGATGAGATAAGCAATTTTTAAAGGAGTTGATAATATGTAGTCCATACGCTAACCGTTAATCCGATAGTAGCAAGTAAAACACACAAATATCGATTGGGTAAGTAAAGAGAGACTATATTTTTACTCACTATATGTAATAAGAATAATACGATCCCTATAACAAATATCCAAGAAAATTCGCCATCACTAAACTCAAATATCAAAGTTACACGAAAATCCTTATACTGATCATCCACAGTAAACTGTTTGAAACATTACTGTCACCGTGACTGTATTATTGAGTGGCATGTCGAATAAACAAACAATAGGGAAAAAGAGTGTATATAGTTAGCCTGATTATTTGAAAAAGTGGACTTTCTTAACAAACGATTAAAGATAAGCGTTTTGAATTAATGGTTTAATTGTTAAATTACTAGATGTTAAATCATTGTATCACGTTTTCGAACTGTTCCACCAAGGTCATTCTGGACAACTACTTTTCGTTACACAAAACAAACTGCTTGAAAGCTGACTAGATATATTCGTATCTGATTATTAAGTCAGCTACTAAGATGGTACATAATACTTCACATGCTCTTATTTCAACAACTGACAGTTCGTTAATTAAATCGTAAAACCTTAACTCAGAACATTTTCATTATCAATTACGATAAATTTATTTAGATTAGTTTGACTAACGTGGATAGGATGTTTTTTTACATATTAATAAATTATCACATAAGAATCCAAAAAATATACCATTTGAGTAGGAAATTATATGCCTGACAATTAAGTAATAAAATAATAATGCAACTTGTTTATCAGTACAAAATAGGTAGAACGAAATTCAGAACCATGATCTATTTGGTTAAAATTTAATTATTTTGACCACTACAACATCGTTCTAAATGAGTAGATAAAAACATGCTTCCAGTAAACTTACCTGTTATTACTATGTTCAAAGATGTACTAGGGATCTAGACAATCAACTGTTAGCTAGTTATTAATTTGTGTTAAGATATATTTGCAACATATATCTGAATAGAATTGTTCGCTTCAATACAACCGAATCATCAATGTATCAAATGAATGAAATTTTTTGACGACCTGTTTTCAAAACTTTTGTGGGAAATATACTCCTATCAATGTATATGCGGATAGGAAAATTGAATGATTTTAAAGGCATTCTATTAACAAATTGAATTTATTAAAAACAAATAGATGTATCCTAACTAAAAATGCGATCAATTTTATAATATCGATCTTGTTACAGGTTCAAAATCTACTTAAGCAAAACTATGCATTTCGGTTAGATATAAGCCTGTCTTTCTATTAGGTAGGGAAGACAATAAAAACAATATGGTAGGCGTACATATGAGCCCTACTGGTATTTACATATGATATGAGGACTAAAGTTATATCCAGATGAAGAATAAGTGAATATTAACCGCTAGGATCTATTCATAGACTGTTATTACATATATTCTTATTGTATAGCTATTAAGTAACTATATTAAATGTATATTCATATTCTTCTGATTACAAGCGTCTGTTTGACCTATTGTCTACTATTATACGATTTACTATTCTTAAGTTATTCCCAATTTATTAGTTACAGTATCTCACAATCACAGCCACTTTCCGACCTGATCTTGCATAATTGTTATTTTTTATTTTATGTTATGATGTGGTATGGTTTGTTTGTATATAAACCAAGTATGACTGAAATACACGATTCATATAGCCGAGGCTGATACTGGTGTTCTGAACTGAACCGGCTGGGTTAAGCGAGAAGCTACTATCTCGGTGGACCAATACGAACTTAGAGTTGACTCAGGACTACTCGTAGTAGTGTCATTGGTCCGGTCGATGTTCTAATTGGCGATAAGTCACGTAATTTATTCGCAGGGCATAAGGACATAACAAAAGTAATCTTTATTGTATAGGTTGTGGAATTATCAAAAATATCCATAGCTATCATCAGAATTCTATTAAATCCTTCCACTTCCTATTCACTTAGTCTATCCTAACAAAATAAAGTAGGTGGACTAAGGAATTTGCTGAGTTATCTAAGATTTTGCAAGTTCTAAGCAAAAAAATTAACCATTTAATCTAAAGATAATGCAAATAATAAATTTCTATAGGTTACTCGAATACTAAAAATTTATTGATATGGCATACTGATTTTTACTTTTAAGCTAAATTATGATAGATAGCATTCAATCGTAAATTTACAACATAATTTATTAAGTAAAATATCTAAGTAGTGAAATGTTATTAAGCAAGTGTTACAGGAATTGATTTTAATCTAACAAACAAACAAAAATGATGAATTACCAACCATTTTCCTTTTTTGTACATTGAGAAAAACTAAGTAAGAGGTCAACCGAAATGTAATCGTCTAATAAATAAATATCTGATTTACAGTGAAATTAGTCACAGTAAATAAATTATAACAACTGAGTGGTCGTTTTCATTGATCTATAAATTCATTATTTAACTGGTTTTTTTTGGAAATAAACACTATCAGAAAATTATAGTGTATCGTAAAGGAATATGCATACATTGGCAGCAATCACCTACCAGTTTATTAAAGTACGATTATAACGGAAGCAATTTCTAGTAATAATATCTAATATGCAAAAAACTTTCATAATTCAAAATAAAGGAAGACTTTATGAACTGTATGATGGGATTCGAGTTCCAAGAGAAGCACCAAAGATTAAAATGTAAGCAAAGTCTGCTGCTGAGTTTTGAGGAAAATGAAACACACCACGAATTTCTCAACAGAAATATACTAACATTAGATTGGAAATCATATCGACTAAGTAACCAACGAAGTAAGCATCATTAAGCAATAACCAATTTATTGTATTAAATTAAATATGGCTTAATAGTAATATGCCGATCTCAAGGCCGAAATATTTCGAACTTGATAATACAACAGATCTAGACAGTATACTTTTGGAAAAAACCTTAACATACAACAAAACGGATTATTAGCTATAAGTCTTTCTTTAGAGGGTGATAATGACTATTTTTACATCTTGAAGAGATTTCGATATGCCTCAAAACACACCATTGAAATTTTGTTGAACCACTCAGTATCATATAATTGTCAAAAACGTAAAACCGTCAAACAAGTATAAGAAGAGAAGACGAAAAAATAATAACACAGTAATGGTTCAGAAAAAAATCAAATTGATATTGCAAGATGGGAAGAAAAGAGGGGAATAGGGTATTTTGACAAAAAAAATACGTCGAGATTATTTCTGTTACTACAGTTTGGTGATATTAGTTCTTTTGAGAGAAAAGTGATTTATCAGTAAAACTAAGTCAGTCTTTTTCATAACAGGGTGTTGAGGATTAGAGAGTAATGGATAATCGTTTAATCCTTTTACAAGAATATAGAAGTATAATCAATTCAGAAAATCAGGCCGATGAACTAGAGCATTAAACATGTAATGATAACGAACGGTTGGCGAATATTCTCTATACACAAATAATTTTAGACTGATTTAAACCCATGAGGAAGTGATAACTTAATAGTTTAAAAAATATATTTATACAAATGTTACATTAAGAAAATTGAAATAACATGGATAACGTCTTTAATGGTAACCAATACGATGTCATTTAATTTAGCCGTCGACGTTTGCAAAAAAGTCCAATATGGTTTTCAAGCTTTGATTCCATATTATAATGCAGTTTATTAAGAGCTGGCTAACTAGAAATTAAAGTTAGCATTAAGCCTATGTGTCGTGCTCACCAGTAAAACACGCCAGCAGCCCTACAAAGAAACACCTTGCACTGTACTCATATTCATGTCATTAAGGCAGAGATAATAACAATAAGTCAGCTCATATTGAAAGCAGGAAAATCCTATTAAATAGCAAGTACTCTCGGAGCGGACAAAAGTGATATATGCAGTACTCATTTGAAAATAAAGATATGTTGCATATGCTTACGTTGGTTAAATAAGTGACCTGGAAAAGTTAATTGTCCATTGCTACACAATGTGTTATGATCTGGATTACAGTTGCTGGATGAACAACAGATAGATGATTGAGTATTATGAAAACAAATGGAAGTTTCCGAATTTTGATCAAAGAAATCAAGATTTTCAGGGGAAGTTGAGTGTCCCGTAGGTTTTTCTGTTACTAAAGAGTAACTTTGTATTCCATTACGACATATTAACTGATAACTTCGACTTGGAGTTGTTGGAGTTGATAGGTTATTAGGCGTAGTCCGACACTTTAGTTTGGTTCCTTGATGTTGATGAGAAACAGCTGATGTTGATGACTTATTCGAGGCACCACAGTAATTCGATAATTCCGATGTAAATCCACTGTTTGGTATAGACCCGATAGTTGAATTTCGCATAAAACTAGCTAACATATCATCGTCTTGACTTCTGTCATCTCTTCCTTCTTCTGTTTTTATTCCCAACTTCTCTTGAGTTTCAGTTACATTTACCTTACGGAAATTCATCTGCGTTGACAATGATGACGATAAAGATAATAATAACGAAGGTAGCAATGATTTACACTTATTACTAATTTCTAAGTTATACTTATCAATGGAATTACTCCCATCTAATGAAGCACTGTTGTTCATTTCCCAAGACGAGATATTAGAACTTTGTGCCGAGTCATCTGATATATAATTTACATGTTTGTTACTACAACCAACAATATTAGTCTGTGCTCCAATTTCTTGATCTACTTCAGCATCAATATAATTTTCATTACCTATTATCGCTTTTAATGATAAACATGTAGAATCTGATTGACTACGAACTAGACCACTGCCATTGTTCATGGAACTACTGGTAGTATAGATGATTTCAGGACCTGATTGTACAGTACAATCAGTAGATGTTACTAAACACAACAATGGATCATTTTTTGTCACAGCAGACTCCAATTGTTTACGTATTCGATTAGGATAATATCTAAAGCAGTTACGGCTGAACTGTACACCCGTAGATGGAGTTGTAGGGATTTTTTCCTTATTGTTGTTACTATTGCAATGACCATCACGTTTATTACTTGGCATACATGTTCCAAATGCAGAAGATGATAAACTGGAGTGACGAAAATGTGGTCTACACCGTAGCAGATTATTACTTCCACGTGAATAAGATGAATAACTTATTGTGATTTTGGGGTTCACATCTCTAGAATCTAGTAAACTGTTAGTTGTTGTTGAAATGACTGTATTATTTCCAGAAGCTACTGACTGATTACATTTACTATTAGTAATATTGGCATTTTCAGAAGTGCATATGCTCCCTTCCGAATTATTTGTTTTCGTAGTATGTGCGATAAAATTGTTAGTATCATGAATTTTGAAACAATTGAATGATGTCATATTTGTAGATTTAAGGGTTCTCAAGTAAGAACATCGTATTGGTAGTGATGGTTGCAAATGTAAACAAAGGAAAAGAGTGGTTATGGCATTTTGTATGACATAAAATAACGTACAACATTCTTAGGTAGTAGAACCACCAGTATCATAGATAATTTCCATAAAATATAATGTTGAAGGAGATAATAAGGAGCAAACGTGATATGATGAGTCCTTAAAATGTTGTACATGACAGATTTAAGAAAATTGAACTATCCTATCAACCAGGAAAAATTTGTAAACTTTTAGGTAGGACATCAGGCATTTACGAAGCATCGATGAATATAATTCCGATACATCACTGAGATTACTAAAACCAGTGGTTATTTCGCTGGTATTACTGTTATCGTAATAATTAAGCAGGAATCGAACCGTTGAATCAATCACATAGGTATATACATGCAAGTAAGAAGAGATTCAAACATATCATTATTAATGGGATTGACACAATACATTTGTGTCAAAGAATAAGAATTTGTGCATTTATCTACACATGGAGGCAGACCATAGGTCATATTCACACAACATACATAGTACAAAGTTGTATACATACACAATAAAAAAGTAAACTGCCAGTGTTAACACGACTAGTAATATTTCCCATTCGAAATATGTGATAGAAGTGCACAATTTTACAAACATACGAGGACATATAGACACCTAATATGCAAACACATGTGTATTCAACACAAAAGTAACCACAAATGGAAATTCGTGAATGTAAGCACTCCCTTAAATCCCAAAAGGGAAAAAAATCCGGACAACCAAAATAAGTTATTGATATGAGAAAAAAACTATGGTACTGTTGAACATAACCATCATTGTTATAATCATAACAAGAACATTAATGGTGATAATAATAATAACCAATTGGATGGAATCTGGTAGTATTAAGGATCAAAAGGGAGAGAAAAAAATGGACATTAGTTGCAAGCTTTTGTTTACTAACCCCACTCTGCCAATGCTTTATTTAACACATAAATACACTTCAAAATGAATATGCATACTTAGTAAGCATAGTTCAGACTAAAATAACATGATAATTGACATTACTAACACACTGTATGAGACTGCGTATACATATTGATTGTCTGTCTTTCGTTTAAAAATGATATTCACAAGCATATAAATGACTAATCAAAAGTGCCAGGGAGAGAGAGAGAGCGTAGTGTATTCACCTTGTTTAATCAAATTGAGACCCAGACACATAGGGGAATATGCCTAAAATTCATTTGTTCATTTCGCATAACAGAAACTACAGTAACGTCATTAAATTATCTGAATGAAAACTAAAACTGTTATCAATTATGAAGTTTTAAACGATATATCCAAAAAAAGCTAAATAACATTCAATATTTCAGTTGGAGATATAGAAAATTGGTTTCAGAGGATTTATTTAATCATAAAAGTAGAATGCTCACGAAATATTACCGTCTTTTCACTGAGAAAACTGACCAAACTGCTTGCAGAAAGCTGAGACACTCACTACATTATTACACATGATAGTAATAGTGTTACATTGAAGTGTATACTATCAAATGTAATACCATAGAATATCTACTTCAAGGTAAGTATTTTTTTATTAGGTCTCAGTACTTCATGAACTTAAATATTACTTAAAGTACAAACTTAATCCACTCTGGGTATCAAAAAATGGACTAAAGAGTATAATAAAATAATGAATATCTAGAAGAAAAATAGCAATGATCGGAGAGGAAAAACTGTTATATCCGATATCCTTAAAAAGGCTATATCGTTAATTTTGGCTATTCAAATACAGATTCCGGCAGAAATACTCCATTGCCGTGAGCGAACGGTAGAAAAATCTTAACTTTTAACTAGGACTATGATTTATAAATGGATATGTAGCTCTTAAGAGTGACTGGAAAAACGCTTGACGACCAGACAGTAATTAAAACCTTATTGACAATTCAGTTGGAGATATAGATGCTACAACCCAGAGGTATTCTAGACTTTAATCTTGTAAAAAATATTGGGATAGTTTTTGATGTATATATAGTTCCTAGGTGCTATTAGGACTACCGTACCTGTGATTATATATTTACACTTAGTTCTTTATAGAAGTGACTGCAATCCACCAAAATACTAGTCTTATAAAAAACTTTCAGTTTTAAAGTTATAACTTAATGCTATATTTGATACAGCCATTCTAAAATTACGTGTGCTATTTGAACATACCATTTCTAACGTTTGTACCATAATGGAATCAATGAAGGAGGTAGGTATGGTTTATCTATCGATGTGCTCAAATGAATTATTACAGTTTTTCCCAACTATCAAGCTCACAACTATGTGTTAGGCGCCTACACCCGTGAATTCTGTGGGACTGGGATTGGATCTTACTAGTTTTCACATTTCACCAAGTGCCAGGACCGAAACAATATTCACCGACTGGATCCCTAGGTAACATTCTCCTATCTACGACTAATTTAGGTTCAATCAACATAAAAAGTAACGGGTGAGAACTATGTAGTCTTTAGAAGACTGAGACCCAGGCACAATTAGAAATCAGTTTTACCTTTTCTACTGAGAGCTCATTATATTAGACGTACCCAGATTCAACGCTGGTTTTCAAGCAATTGTAAAATATAAATATCTTTAGCTGCATGTCTTGAAAGAAATCACTTACTTTGTAAAATACCCATTACAAATTTTTGACGCTCGTCAGTTTATTCCATTAGGATTAGAATGCAAAGTTTGGGCAACTCTCCTATGTGAAAAACTTCACAAAAACTTACATGACGAGTGGAAAACCCGGTAGTTGGAAAGTATCTCCGCATCCAAAGTAATAGCTACACCCTACAACAGTTAGGACCTATTTCCGTTGAACTGAATCGCCAACATCAAAAAACCAAATTCCAATGAGAATTGATGACACGTCTACTAGCAATATTTAAAAACGCCTGGAATACTTAATCAAGTATTTCAAAAGACAGTTTGTTCTATTCATTCCTCTAAAATTTTGACCAAATTATCATGTGTCACGGTCAGTGGGTATTTATCCTCCCACCGAAGCGACGTTTTAAAAGGAATTTAAGAAACTAAGACTATATAATAAATCTGATTTAGATTACCTATCCTCAACTCTTTCTAGCGGTGAGGTCGACATTTTGGTTAGAAAATTGACTGAATTATTTAAAAAAGTATGGCATGTCGATTATTTTACAACATTGCAACCAAGTTATTATCATTAACTACAAGAGCTAACATAAAAGATGTGAAAATCATCAGTAAACGTTTAGTTAACTTCAAATTATTCACGAGGTAATTAGGTATGAGTCACATAATAAGTGCGTGGACTGATTATAATACTCGACTACCCAGACTGATGCAAGTGGATATGGGCCCGAACCTTGGACTTAATGACTGGAATTCGAACGTCTTAACCAATAAGCCACCGCTACTCCATCAGTATACAAGTCTGTTACCAGTTAAGTTGCCTTTCATCCCCACACAAATGAAGGAAAACGTAAGAGACAAACTGCAGAGGACTAGGTTGAATGTTGCTCAGTTTTTTATAGTCATTAGCCACATCTTCGCCCGCTCCCAGACGTTTGAACATCATCACGCCTAGTTCAGGCCGAAAACAGTTATATTTTTGACATCAGTGATAAGTCTAATTTGTTAGGCAAGAGTAGAAATATTTCCCTGCGAATTCCATTTACATTTTAAAAGTTATTTACAAAAACAACTCAGGTAGAGTGAGAGCATAGAACTACCGTTTCACTGTTACATATTAACAGTGAAATCACTCAAGACTCTACAACATCGTCATTTCCTTCTCAGTCAGTCAGTAACAACGTAGAACTTCGTCATTTCCTTTTGACCAATCAATTACATAGTGAGGAACAATGAGATCTACCACCTGATGGAAGACTTTTCATATTGAATTTACTGATACTGCTTTGCGGTCCCACGATATATACGCCACCTAAATCTTATTTAATCAGTTGGTGGTCAGTGTCGAACGATAGTGTACCATTAACGATGTCAATTATTGTACAGTAGAATAAAAAAGACTTATATCAGTGTGTGCCAGTGGTATTGATGCGGTATTTATTTATTTTATTTATTTGAACACAAATATTGATACAAAGGGGCACTGAATACATATGCGCCACACAAGTCACTTGATTTGTGAGTGGGCTGTGATACTGCCCGGGTGCCCAGACCGAAATGACAAACTTGGTCTATGTGCGAAATGATCCCGTGTACAACATAGCTATCTGAGGAATGATAAGTCCTATCAAAATGTATTTGATTTTAGTGGAAATTACTTTACTATCAAGCAACCCGTCTTACAAAGCTTTAGTAGCCTAAACACGTATTTTACATGTTGTATCCGAAGTCTTCATACCAAGTGCTTTTGACGCTAGGAAGAGGTGTACAAAGTAGAAGTGGTTGATTGACGACCAGTCTGTAAAATGAAGAACACTGATCAGTCAGTAATTAAAAATTTACTATACAAAGACGAACTATCCCGATAGAATTTCGCATGATTTCTCAGACCTAACCATAGTTTGAGAGAGTTGGTACTAGAAACGAAAAGATAATCGAATGTCAAGTAATATGCATTGTTTGGATGTCCTTAGAACAGATAATTGATCTACTAATTTCCTTAAACTATAAGCTAATAACTCCACAACCACATCCAAGTTCATGTCCTAAACGACTAGTAATCTAGACAGTTTTGTGTCAATTCGCCATTCAGATTGATTAGGAATAGAAGGCAACTGAATTTTAACTGGAAGCCAACTGAATTATTCTCTAAATATTTCTGTACAGCTATCTACTAAATTGGAAGTGAATAATGATTCCGTTTTACCCCAAGACGGTTTCATTAACATCTACCTGCTTGATCAGTTGACAGAGTTGTTCAGCGTTATCTATCGATGCTCCCTTTTCATTTCTCTCACTTTAGTTACCCATTACTGCTCACGATCATCGGGTAAACAATTTATTAGTTTGAGTTGGAATTGTCGTTGTCCTTCATCGTTCTCGAAGCCTGTTGGAATTTGCAAGCCTCTATAAATTCAGTGGAAGCTACCAAAATCCACCGATTTTTCCTAACCATTTAATTTTAGTTACTGATTGATATTACAATTGGATTTACAGCTTATTCCGTATCTCTCCAGGCTTCTTCAAAATAAACCGTTTCTCTACGACCGACTATGTGCTTAGCTAATTTTCCCCTAAATATGTCTTAGAGCTTTCCATTTCCAAAGTGATATCTAACGAGTCTTCCTGCTGTAACTTTCTCATGTCCATTAAGACGCACAGAAACGCGTACTGTTACTATGGTATGATTACAGCCCAAGCATGTACTTTAGAAATGGAAGTCTTCTATAGAGCCTCTTCAACGATGGCCGTGATGAAATTACCTATTTCTACCCACTGTTATGCCTATGTGTGGGTTCTTCAGGTTAAACAGTGTTTGA